TTCATTTTTATGAATAGTATGCAATTTTTTGCGTCTCCCCATGATATCTACATATAATCCAAAGCCATGTTAGTATATATATATATATATATATATAAATTTAAAAAGTTTGGGGAGTCGTGGCTCCCCTATTACTTAAAAGTTTTGCACTTATATGAATGAGACAAATTATACTAAATTTATGTTAACATTTACTTTTGTGTTTCACTTGCTTTTTAAAGTCGGTATAAAATATTTTTACACCCTTATTTTTATTATAAATCTATTCCAAATTATTGATTAAAATTATACAAGATTTTGAAAAAGAATGAAAATATATACAACTTACAACAGGATATTTCAGTAGTTATAGATTATGTTTTTACATTTGGTGCAAGTATTAATAATCTAATTTAAATATTTTTATTGTATGATTTTTAAATTTCACTGAAATTAAAAATTTATTATTCATTAATTGTTACCAAATATTTTTTAACCGTCCATATAAAATATAAAGGTTAATTATATTTTAGATTTTAAGCTTTTATTAATTTTCACTTTTAATTTTTGAACAAATTTTTTAGTCTTTTGGTCTGAAAAAATTAAAAAATTTAATATTTTCATAAATACATTATTTAAAAAATAATTTACTAAAATAAATTATTTTGACCACATGAATATTTATAAGCAAAACGTTAATAGGAGTGACATTTTTAATTGAAGGAAAATTTGTTCAGAAAACATTAATACTATTAATGTTTTCAGGTGTGTAAAGGCAATATAATTAAAAAGCCCATTAGGCCCATAAACTTACATATATCATACATTCTGTAATGACTCAATAACCGTGAGCAGTGCACATCTTTCTGTTCCTCTCTTTCTCTTTTCTCTCTTCTCTCTTCTCTCGTCTCTAATCCTCACATGGTATCAAGAGCAGTAAGATCTTGGGGCAAACAATGAATTCTTCAACAGCTTCCGCAATCCAAACAATCGTACCTGTCTCAGTCAAACTTGATGATGAAAACTTCCTCACATGGAAGATGCAGGCTTCAGGCACCATCAAATCCTTCAAGTTACAACAATTCATCGATTTTTCTTCTCATGGTGGCATGCCCAACAAATTCAAAGATAACGAAGCTATGGCTCTTGGTAAGATTTCTGACGACTATGCCAATTGGGAGCAACAAGATCAAATTGTATATACCTGGCTTCTTGATTCAATGTCTCCTACTCTTCATGTTCGTATGGTGGGTTGCAACCATGCTCACCAAATCTGGAAATCTCTCCACACATACTTTGAATCTCAAACCCGCGCAAAGGTATGTCAATTGAAAACGCAACTCAAAGGTATTCGTAAAACCGATTCTCTCAACAATTATCTTTTATCAATCAAGGATTATACTCCTTGAATATAAAAAAATTTCTTATATTTATTTTTTAAATAACTATCCATAATTTATAATATTTGTCTGTATAACTATTAGAGGTACGAAGTGCCTCAGTCCCTCTAGTTATTATAAAAGAGATAGAATATAATTTTGAATTAAGTTGTCTTAATTTAATGTATTAGTACTTAATGTCCATAGGTGCCAAGGCCACACATAACTAGAGTAGGAGTTAGTTCTCAATCTGGGCGTTTGAAGACAATTGGAAGGGTACTTACTTTTAGTGGTGTTGAAGTTGCTTAGTTCGAGAATATAATACAAGGTATTTGTTTCATAGCTAAAAATCCTTTTGTTGTACTGTTTGATATGTTTGATTCTACTGTAATCCATTCTTTTATTTCTCTTGCTTGTGTCTAAAAATTGAAGTTTCCTATGTCTTGCTTAAACTATGATTTGGTTGTGGAGACTCCCGTTAATGATTTCATAACTACTTCTAGTATTTGTCTTAAATGTACAATTATTATCTCTAAAACGTAGTTTCTGGTTGATCTTATATATTTGTCTCTTAGTCAACTAGATATCATTCTTAGAATGAATTGATTATCTTTCAATCATGTTCTATTAAACTGCTTTGAAAAATTCATATATTTTGGCGATAGTAAGAGTGTAGAGTTTTTAAGTGCTAATAAAATAAAAACTTGTTTAAAATAAAAAATATTAAAATTTTAATGGAAAAGATTGAAATTGTATAATTATAATATTTATAAGACTATAATTGTTCAATTAAAATTAAAAAAAAAATTAAAATCGCACAACTATAATAATTAAAATTTTAAAATTATTTAATTAAAATTATATAATTATAATACTCTTACTATACACCGCTCAATAACTTTATATTAAATGTGAATTTTGAAAATTCAACCATTAGATTGAAATGTCGTTTGATATATATGATCTAAGAGATATGAATTTTCAATCTAATGGTTGGATTTTCAAAATTCACATTTAATATAAAGTTATTGAGCGGTGTAACACTTAGTAAAAGTTACACCGGTGTCGTTTGAACCCTCCTCTATATATATATATATATTATCTTTTCAAACTCTAAAGTTTGATATTTATTATAATGTAGATAACTAATATTTGTTTTAATGATTTATAAATTCTTCATAAGTGTCACATATGAACATATTATCATATACAACTTTGGATGTCTCTTGATATGATAATTTAACCTTTTAATAATCACATAAATATTTAATAATAATAAAGATCACATAATGTTAAAAACTAAAAATAACAAAACAAACAATTTTATTTTACAATCACTAAAATCAAAACTTTTTCATGTGAACTAAAAACACATTTAACCTAAATTAAATTGTAACCTAAACTCAAACAAAAAATGTGAAATAGATTTCTAGACCACCAATGTAAACTATGAGTATAGTTTTTTTGTTGTTGGTAGAACTAAGACTATATTTTATATATACAAAAATCTTCAAATAATATTCTAATGGTTTTTCCTTTAATTTCATTTTTATAGAGGTGCTCCCATCACGGTAGTTTTCCATTAATAACTATTAGATCTATTTCTCAAATGTTACATTACAAATCCAATACTTATGAACAGAAAACTACCATTTACCATAATCGAATAACCCTTGAATCAAAGATTGTGATACTCTGCAACTTCATGGGCCACACTCTCCACCTCATTCTCTTCCAAAGACATTCCCATGGTTTCCCTAGTGAAAAAGTAGGTGATCACCATTCCCACAATGCACACCCCTCCAAGTATGATAAGGGAAGCTGTCATCCCAATTCCCTTGGGGTACCCCTCCTCCTCCTTATTATGTGAGGCCCAAAGAAACCCAACAGATCCAATGATTGCCCCAGCCTTGCCCATTGCCCCAGAAATGCCATGACACGTGGACCTAAACCTGGCTGGGAAAAGCTCAGCTGGGACAATGAAAGTCGTGGTGTTGGCTCTAGACATGTAATTTTTAATGAATTTGTTTTTGCTTTTGCTAGTAATCCTGATTTCGTAAAATCCTCTACTCTCATTGTTCCATCTCTTGCACATGATTCTCTTCCATATATTCCTCTAATTGCTGAAAATAATCCTGCACCTGTTGTCACTCAAAATCCTGAACCACCAACTTCCTTAAGTAGTAATGACCTCATCACAAATGAACAAAACTTACCTCATACAGAACCATCACAGCCTCCTACCCCAACAATTACCAATAATCATCCTATGATAACTAGAAGCAAACATGGCATTTTCAAACCAAAAACCTATGAAGTCACCACTTCAACTAAAAAGTTGCATGATCCTTTCAAGGAACCCAAAACCATCAAAGAGGCTTTAGCCATTCCTAACTGGAAACAAGCTATGGATCAAGAATATAATGCTCTAATTCACAATAAGACTTGGGTTCTTACTCATCTACCTGCAGGAGCTAACTTGGTTGGCTGTAAGTGGATCTTCAAAGTCAAAACAAATGCTGATGGCACCATTAATAGGCACAAAGCAGGCTTGTGGCTAAAGGCTTCAATCAACAAAGTGGTTTGGACTTTACTGAAACGTTTAGTCCTGTTGTTAAACCTATTACTATAAGAACTGTTTTAACTATTGCATTATCATTAAATTGGAGTTTAAGACAACTTGATATTGCTAATGCTTTTCTTAATGGAGATTTACAGGAGACTATATATATGGCACAACCTCCTGGATTTACAAATGGAGACAAGAACATGGTCTGTAAGTTACAAAAATCTCTATATGGTTTAAAACAGGCCCCTCGGGCTTGGTTCCAAAAACTTCATGATACTCTCTCTGTTCTTGGTTTTAATTCTGCTAAATCTGATTGCTCTTTATTTTTCAGGATTACCACTAGTAATATTATATTAATATTGGTCTATGTTGATGATCTCATCATAAGTGGTTCATCACAAACTGAGATAGATTCTGTTGTAACTCACTTACAAACTAGGTTTCCTGTTAGGGATCTTGGCTTTCCAAATTATTTCCTAGGCATACAAGTTACTCAAATGTCTAATAACTCTCTTCTTTTAACTCAAACTAAATACATCAATGATCTGTTAAAAAGAGCAAACATGGTCACTGCTAAACCTGTTAAAACTCCCATGACAGCTAGCCTAAAACTGACCAATAGTGACAAAGATCCTTGTGAAAATCCTAGTTTATATAGTTCAATTGTGGGTAGCCTGCAATATCTCACTATAACCAGGCCAGAGATATCATTTTCTGTTAACAAAGTTTGTCAGTTTATGCAGGAACTGAAGGCCACTCATTGGCAAGCAGTGAAGAGAATTCTAAGATACTTGTGTGGAACTGCTACCACAGGTATTGTTCTGACAAAATCCAACAACTTACACATTTCTGCTTTCTGTGATGCAGATTGGGGGGCTGATGTTGATGACAGAAAATCAACAACAGGATTTTGTGTCTTCCTAGGATGTAATCCAGTCAGTTGGTCATCTAGGAAACAACAAGCTGTTTCAAGAAGCACAACAGAGGCAGAATACAGAAGTTTAGCTGCTGTTACTGCAGAAATTACTTGGCTGAAGAATCTTCTACATGAACTTCGAGTACCAAATATAAGAACTCCAAAGATATATTGTGATAACCTTAGTGCAGTACTTCTAGCTGCTAACCCAATTCTTCACTCAAAGACTAAACACTTTGAACTAGACTTATATTTTGTAAGAGACAAAGTGCAGAAAAGAGAAATATCAGTCCAACATATACCTTCACTGGAGCAGACAGCTGACATCTTCACAAAACCTCTCACCTATCCTTCCTTCTCAAGCTGTATGTACAAACTTAGGCTTCACTTTTGTTCTCCCATAAGTTTGAGGGGGAGTGTAAAGGCAATATAGTTAAAAAGCCCATTAGGCCCATAAACTTACATATATCATACATTCTGTAATGACTCAATAACCGTGAGCAGTGCACATCTTTCTGTTCCTCTCTTTCTCTTTTCTCTCTTCTCTCGTCTCTAATCCTCACAAGGTGTAACAAAAAATTGTACCAAAAACGTCAATTTTCATGACTTTTTTTGCATTGTTGATCTAGCTTCGCATTTTTTGCCTTGTTGATCGACTACAGGGGCATGTTATTATGTGTGTTTCCTGTTGCAAGCTTATTCCTTTTTTATGCATGAATTTTGTGAATAATTTTTTAGTGCAAATTTACTATGCATGAATTTTGTTAGTTTTTATGTTGAATTAGATAATAAATTGGATGTTTCCCTATGCCAAGTTTAGGTTCCAATTATGTTACTATCACATCACTTTTTTTTTTCTTTTTTGTTTACTTTGTGGGTTAATTGATTTATTTATCTCTCTTTTTTTTCATATTCTTTTAAGCATTCAAGTTTAGGCGTCATGTATGCCTTTAACTTAATAATTTAGATGCATAGTTTTAATGTGAATGAATACACAAGCAAAGGATAAAAAATATCATAATATCTAATAAGAATTAGAAATAATTATAAAGTAAAAATAAAATTACAAACAATTCTCTTTATTCTTAAGTAAATTTGAGATTATGAGAATGGCTACAATCACTGTATGTGACATTTTCTGTGTGGAACGTTTTCTATGTGGAAGTCGTCACTGCATGTGACATTTGTTGTTTTGGGATTTTTCAGAATTCGTCATACTGTGTGACATTTTCTGTATAACACTACTCAGCACTCTATGTGATGTTTTCTAGCTTTTGACATGGCAAAAATATCAGTATAATTTTTTGGTACAACTGAAAACGTCAATAGAATTAATGTTTTTTGAACAAATTTTTCTTCGATTAAAAATGTCAATTATACTAACGTTTTCTTTGTAAAATAAATGTCACTTTTTTGACATTTTGCTTATAAATATTCACGTGGCTAAAATAATTTATTTTAATAAATTATTTTTTAAATGATTTATTTATAAAAATATTTAAATTTTTTATTTATTCAAATCAAAAGGTCAAATTTTCTATTAGTTTTATCTATTTTTTATCTGATTTTCTCACCTTTAATTTTTCAACCATAAACTTTACTTTCCATTAACATTTTTAATCTCTTACGTTAAGATATTTTATTCACACACAAAAATAATAGTTTTAAAAACTAAAATTAAATAAAATTTATTAAAAAATTAAAAATAAAAATTGATAAAAAAAATTACAAACTAAAAATATATTAAATCTAAAATATAAATTAGTGAGTGGATCGAAGTCTGTTAAGCAGCCACTCCTCGACTCGTACGTTGTAGAGTGTCAGCAGACATATCCGGTTTCAGTCGCGCGTAAGAAACGAAATGAAAATTGCTTCCATGATTTCTGGTTGCACTCATTACACTCAGCTTCTCTCCATTAAGGTAAAACTCTTTTCCCTCTTTCGCTTTGAATTATGTTACGGCCATGAATCTCGTAGCAAAGCAAATAAATTAGTGTTATGTGTTAATCTGGAAAATGAAAAGGAGAAACTGATAAGAACTTTTGGTATTGAATTATTGATTAAAAGGACAATGTGATGAGGGAAGAGAAACCCATTGCTAAAAGAGTGAAAGAAGTGAAGTTTCTCAAGAGCTTTGCTCCTCCTCTTGTGGCTGCTTTTCTAGTCTTATCTCCAATTTCCAACACTCCAGGTGAGGTGTCATCAATCCTTATCCATGCTCTAGAATTTTCTAAAATACTAAAATGCCCCTGCTTTTTATTCAAACTGCATTACATGTCACACACTCACTTGTTTTATATAACTCCTTTTCAAAATCAATCTTTCTTTTGGTTGATGTAACAATTACAAGTAACCCAATTCTGATAGATACTAGAAGAACATCTTGCATTTGTGATTTAACCTGTGGGCTCTTGGTACAGTGTTTGAGAAAATCCCAGTTGAACAAGAGAAATGTATCGGAGATAGTTAAAAATTAGTAAGTTGGTTATGACATTAACGACATGTTTAAATAAATTTCTCTTGGAAATATTTATAGAAGAAAAAAATAGAAAGAAAAATGAAATAAACTTTTGCATAAATTTAAACCCGTATATGCGTGAAAAATAAAATTTTGGAGAGAATTAAATTTCTAAAAATTAACTTATTATGTATAAGTTAATTTTAGTTTATAAAAAATATTTTATTTTTCTTTCCTAAAAGTGTTTCTGGGATAGTTTATCCAAACTAGACGTAATTAGTTGGTTGGTTGGTTTGTAGATTTCCCTCTTGTATGTAAATCATGTTGTAATCCTCTTTCCATCTAATCAATTCCACTTTACTAACCAAGGATTTGGATACAAGTGGTTAATATGTTGAATTCAAGGTTGAATCGTTCGAACAATACTTGAATCCGATTTTTGGTGAAAATAATCTTTAACTAGACTTTACTTACATCCTGTGGAGTCAGATTAGTTTAAGACAAAATCTTGGGTGACTAGTGCAAAATCTAAAAACTTCCACTTTACTCATTCTCCCATTTTTCTTGGATTCTCATGTTTGCATGGTTGCTAAACGATTAATGAATATACACTCAAGGCTTAAATGATTGGCAATAGCTCTACATTCAGGATTCTGATTCATTGGTAATGGTTAATGATAACAAAAGTGGCTTATTGCTGTAGCCTGAAAATTTATGGCTAAAATCTGTTTACAGATATTCGATCAACTTAGTTGTTTTCTTTGCTTTATCTTGTTTCACTTAAATGCAACAGAAGAAAGTTCAAAGAACTAGCACTTCTGGACTTGTAATCTATTCTTGAGGTAATCTTTACATGAAATAAACATGTAGTTCATGTTTAGCTTCTTCTGTTCCAGTTTCAAGTGCTCAAACTGTAGATATTCAGAGAGGAGTCACATTGTTTCGACAAGCTTGTATTGGATGTCACGATGCAGGTGGAAACATAATACAACCGGTGAGTATCCCTTTATCATTGTGCATGACATCTCTTTATGTCCTTGCACTCAAATTGATTTGTTCTTTGTACCTTATTCTTTTTCTTTTCCATTATTTTAACACACAGGCGTCAACTCTATTTACAAAGGATTTACAGAGGTAAGTGGTGAAAACCTAAGCACCCTCATGTTATAAAGGATACACTTCAAATATAAGTTGAAACTAAGGATTTCAGAGCTCATTTGTTTCAGACTTTATGAAGAATGAAAAATAATCTATCAAGTATCAACTATTTCATATGCAAATTACTCTGGTCTAAATTGAAGGCATCATCAATCAATGCATCTTTCTTGTGAATTGCTTGCTTAGCAAGTTCTTCGGAGTATCAACAAATGTGAATTTAAAATTCAGTGTGTTGGCCTCTAGTAACAACTGTAGCAAACTTCCGAGTCTTTCTGTTATATCTTTGAAATAATCCAAATGTTGTTCAACAGAAATGGAGTTGATACAGAAGAAGCCATCTATCGGGTCACATACTACGGCAAAGGAAGAATGCCAGTGAGTTATCTTGCATAAATTTAAAGGATGAGCATTTGTAGGAAAGAGGGAAATAGACACAACCTATCAGAACATTTTACATTTGAGTGTGTGCATGCACTCATGTTCTTACTAGATGAGTTTGAGCATGTTTGGATACAAACTACAAAAAGGGATTTTCAAAGTTTCTTTACTAAAAAATACTCTATATTTTTAATAGAGAAGCTCTTAAAAATTCTTCTAAATTGTATCCAAACATATTATTAATGTAAATCATAAATAGATGCTCAGGTTTAGAAGTAAAATCAATCTGGACCATTATGTATAGTTTGCTGTGTAGTTTGTATGGTCAAAGAAGAACTCCTTCCTTACCTTTCACTCTCACCAAAGACACACATATATACATAATACATTGTTAATTTGCTGCACTTGATGCCTTAATATTTTCTCTCATCATCCATATTTTATGTCTGATGGTTTAAATAAGAAGAAAATTTACATTCAATACTAAAGATATTGTTGGTACTTTTCTTTAATTAGAGTTAAAATTTCATCTTAAGAATATACATAATTAAAGACCTCCTTTAAATGTGGACGCATATTACTAAGATAAAATTTCAATTCTTATTGGAGAATAATATCAATGATACTTATGACTATGGTATGTATTGTATTTAAATTGTCTCTGTACGCATGATTTGATTCTAATTGGTCGAAAAATGTCTTGCTTTTCCATGCAGGGCTTTGGTAAAGAGTGCATGCCACGGGGTCAGTGCACCTTTGGAGCACGTTTGGAAGATGAAGAGATCAAGATATTGGCGGAGTTTGTCAAGTTACAGGCTGATCAAGGGTGGCCAAGTATAGAGACTGAAGAAAAGTGATTTAATACATGATTGGTTCAATTTATTTTAAAAGAATAATTGCTTATTTCTTTCAACTTTTTGAGGGAACCTTTGATAAATAAGTGATTATTTATTTAGAATTAAACTGAACCAAACATGCTATTAACTTTTGTTGCATCTTTTCATGATAAATAGGTACGTAATGATTGGTTTACAGTTAATTTGTATGCAGACATATACTGGCATGGAAATTTTGGAGTTGTTTATAAATTTTTTGATAGATTTTGGATTTGTATTCTTTTGTTAATGCTGTTTGGTGGCTTAACTGACCTTTGCAAATGGGTATGTCTCAGGTGGGAAGGTGGTGTACCAGACCACTAAGAAGAGGGCAAGCGGACCCAAATGCCCTGTCACTTGAAAGAGGATCCAAGGGGTATGTATATAATTAAATAATTAATATAAGAGTTTGATTGGATACAAGTTGTAAGTGCTTTTTAAAGCTTTCTTATTAAAAATAAAGAACAATTTTTAGTAGAAGAATTCTTAAAAACACATATAAACTTTTATCAAAACAAACTTTAATTCTTTCTAAGTATTTAACATAACTATATATCCAGAACTTGAATTTCATACCATTGATAAAGTTAAAATAATTTTATGTTGATTGATTCATATATCAGATAGATATAACTTGCTCCTCTAGTCTAACCATATTGTATCTTAATTTTCCAGATGGAATTCTTTTGTTAACTGATGTTTGGATTGGTTTATTTCAAAGAAAATAATCACTTTTTTTTTTAAATAATTCTTAAAAGCTAATAAAAACAAGTGATTATTTTTCAAAATAATTTAAACTAACCACGCGTTAATTTGAATTAATCCCAAGGTCTTATATGAGTATGTATGACTGCAAACAAAGCATTAATTGAAATGCTTGGTGGCATGGGTATAATTGAGTGTTAATTAAAAATTTATTATAAACAAACTCGACCTTTCTTTCTTTCTTTCTTTCTTTTTTTTTTTTTTTAATGCAAGGTTAAATCTAACTTATTTAGGTAAGGTTTTATGGAATCCTATTCAAGACTGAAAATCCTGAAAACCAAGTCAATGATCCTACTTCCCTACTTCCCAGGCCCAAATGCCAAATGTCCTTTTGTTCTGGACCAGGAAACCCACACCACATAGTCACATATACATATAATGGTGTTGCCTTTTTGTTGTAATGCCTAACACATAATATCAATTAGTGCCAATTAAAAGATGTATAAAAATATAATTTTTCCATAAAATATTAAGGAAAAATGGGCTAGTAGTAACTGTCTCATTTAGTTGTTGCACCAACTCAAGCTAACTTTGACTTCCTTTTGAGAGAGATAAAGCACCAATGAAAAAGTTAAGAGTCAAAATGAGCCAAGCGTGGGGGTTAAAAAGAATTATTCTCACTAATGCCGAGGTAAGATGATGACATTGAATCAAATACGTGAATAGAGATCCCAAAACATTTAACAAATTGTATGATATGTAATGTTCACAATTCACGCTATAGCTATGCATAGCTCCACCTTTTGTGCTCTGTTCTAGCCATTTTTAAGTATAAAAAATTATATTAAAGATTCCCATAGCAAGTGAAATGGTCCTCCCAAGTCCCAACAACTAGCCCTATAATCAACATGAGACAAACTAGATCTCTATTCATTTTTCCCATGCGTAAACATAATGAAAAGTCCAAATTCAGACTAATCAAGAGCTATTGGTGGGTACAAGTTGTCACTTTATAGTTTGTGGCCATGTGCCACTTTGTGCTTGGCATCATGCAATTACCCTCAAGGTAAATGGTTTCTTCACCTATGCATATGCTCCATTTGATGAATGAATTTTAAAATAATATATATATATATATATATATATATACACACTC